GTTCACAAGCAAAGGAAGGACCAACACATGTTTGATATTTTGGAAATTTTTAAGAAAGTGCAGATCAACATTCCCTTGCTTCAAGCAATTCAACAACTTCCTTCTTATGCAAAATTTTTGAAAGATGCATGTACGAACAAGAGAAAATTCGCAGCTCATGAAAAAGTGATGTTAACTGAAGAGTGCAGTGCGGTGTTGCTCAAGAAATTGCCTCCAAAACTAAAGGACCCAGGGAGTTTTACAATTCCTTGTATTATTGGTGATGTTCAATTTGATAAAGCATTTTTAGATTTAGGCTCAAGCATTAACCTTATGCCTTTGTCTATTTTTCAGCGATTAGGTATTGGAGAGCTCAAAAGTACTACCGTTTCTCTTCAACTTGCGGATAGATCAGTCACATATCCTAAAGGAATCATTGAAGACGTGTTGATTAGGGTGAAGCAATTTGTGTTTCCAGCTGATTTCTTTGTTCTTGACATGGAGGAAGACCATGACATCCCACTCTTGCTAGGCCGGCCTTTCCTTGCTACTGCTGGTACATTGATTGATGTGCAACAAGGAACTTTAACTTTGAGAGTTCAAGGTGAATCAATTGAGTTTAAGGTGTTTGAAGATGCTAAAAAACCGGGGGACTTGGAAGAGTGCAGCCGCATAGATCTCCTTGACCCAATTGGACATGTCAACTACTTGGAAAACACCTCTACGGATGTCTCGAAAGCCAAGTCTCCACCCACTCCATGCATGAAACGCATGCCCACTTCTCTTGGACGTGCTGGAATTTATCAATGTTTTATCAAAAGCTTTTCCAAGATGAGCCAGCTCTTGTGGCATCTCCTTGCCAAGGATCACACCAAGACATTGCACGACAAGGCTATTGTTCACAAGGAGTTTGGACAACAGCCCAAGCACTACATGGAAGAAGTAGCATTCTTTGCTACTTCTGCACCACCATAGACATTCGAAAAGTCTAGCTCATGACTATAAAGAAGCGCTTCTTGGGAGGCAACCCAAGCATTCTCACCTTTGTTTTCATTTGTTTTTGTCTTTAGTTTCTCTGTGATTTCTCTTGCATTTTTCATGTTTTTGTTGTTTTTGTTAAGTTTTGCATCATCAAACATAGGATTTTGTGTTCCAAAGAAAAAATTTCGCATTTTTCTAGCCCTAGGATGTTTGCAGCACGTTTCAGATGTGTTACAGTAGTTTTTTTGGTCAATGGTTGAAGTTAAATGCCAGAAAATAGCAAAATAGCTTAGTCGGTTCTTATTTTGAAAAATTTTTGCCTAATGTCTTTTTTGTTGTTTTTTAGGTCAATCTGAAGCCACCGACGTGTTTAGAATGGTTATTATGATGTTTTGGACCAGGTTTGGGGGTCTTCGGTGGCCTACATTATGTTTTAGGACGATTTGAAGCTCAAAAAAGGACCTAAAACACAAAAAAAGGCAGCTGCTGTTTTGCCCAGAATTTGAAGATTTTTCGTCACTAAAGGGGTTTTAGCGACGGTGTTCATCGGATTTTTCGTCACCAAAGATGTTTTAGCAGCGGTGTTCATCAGATTTTTCGTCACTAAAAGTCGGATTTCCAGATTTTTATGATTACATATCCAGCTCAAATTCGTTCCAATTTCATTCCATTCCGAGACTTTTAGGAGATATTAGTAGGAGATATTACGGGTCTATGACATTCCAAGAAGCGAGTTGTGGGTGTTTAAGTTCGTCGCATTGTCAATTCTCTCTCACTTCGACATATTCTACGCTTTGTTCATCCATACACCTACACAAACCCGGGAAGTTCTCACACCCTTTCTCTCTTTAATTGATTTTGCATGACTTAGTTTTCTTTGTTTTAAACATTGAGGACAATGTTTGTTTTAAGTTGTGGGTGATTGAGTTCATTGGTTTCATAATGCATGCAGCAGTCCTCTGTCTTTGTTTTCAATTCTGTTCTTTTCTGCTGCTGTTTTTGTATTTTGGCCCGCATGGTTTTTGTATTTTGGCCCGCGTCACATTCTTTGTTTTTTCGTTCTGAATCCAACCATATAAAGAACGTGAATTTTGGCCACATATTCTGTGAGATACATGTAATTCTTTGCGCCTGGGTCAGAACTGCAGCTTTGTTTATTGATTTAAAATTCCTTTCAACTTTTAGTTTTTATTTTGTTGTTTTGTTTTGTTTTTCTCTTAAAAATAAAAATAAAAAAAATCTGAAAAATGTCATAAAATCCAAAAATATTTTCTTTTACTTTGAGTCTTGTTTTTGTTTCGTTTGTGGTAGTCCCTTCCCAATTCTATGATGAGATTGAATTTTATTTGCAATTAACTTTCAAGAAATGTTGAGCATGACACTAATTCTTTACATTATCTTTGTGTTAGCCTTATTTTTGTGATTAGACTTGGGAAATCCTTATGCACATAGCCACATTAATATGAGTTTCGATTGGGGATTTCACATGTTTTAAATGGCTAAATAAGAGCTAGTGTAAACTTATATAACCCTTATGTGAATTTTTGAGCCTATGCTTCTTTTCTTGAGTGTTATATGGTGATATTCTATAATTTTCTTATCTACAAGTCGTTGTGATCTCATTATTCTTTGTTTTGGTCAAGTACTTGAGGATGTTTAAATTGTTTGCTAGAACTACTTT